TGCCATAGTGAACTAATGTTATATATATATATTTACATACGGCTCACAAACACAGTATTCTCAGAGAAAATTATGTTCGGATACTCATTTCTTAAAGATTGCAAGAAAACACTGTATGTTCAGAAAACTAGATGGGTAGAAATTTAACTGAAGAAACATAGCTATGGGAACACCTAGAGATAAATTATTGCGAATACGGAATCTGAATACGACTGAGGCATAAACTTGTACCTGATTAAACTTTCTTATTGAAACATTGTGTAATACTTTTCTTAAAGAGAGAACAATATTTTCAGCACTTTTTTATTCTCCTTATTTGTTTTTCAGACTGATGCATAACCTAAGAATATTAGTACTTTTGTTCTTATACATAAACAGAAAAATGATTCATGAATGGGAAAAAAATTATATTGCGTTCAGCTTTCATAAGCTGTTGGTAATTATTCAGGAAATGTTTCTTATTGTACAGGATTCTACACAATAATTTTAGTAGAGAAACAGAAATAATTCAATATTTTTTTTCTAATAAGGTTTGTTTGTCACAAAGCTACACAAAGGGCTATCTGTACTTTGCCCACCACGGGTATCGAAACCAGGTCTCCAGCAGTATAAGTCTGCAGACATACCACTGTGCTACTGGGGGCTTTCTAATAAGAAAATGTTTAATAAAATGAACCAAACGATCCTTTCTTAGATTGGAATTATCATTGTAAGTTAATTAAATGAAGTGTATGTATGATATTTTGTTCCAATATGACATCATTTTGTTAACGAGCGTAGTCCTGAGAGCATAAAACAAAGTTATAAAAAAATTCTTTGCTCTGATACCACTGCCCCGTGTTCTACACGTATAGGTCTTCTGATTATTAGTATTAGAATTTCAATATGTATATGAGTTGTTTAACACGGCTTTCGCACACATAAAAGGAAACCCTTCAGAGACAAAATTCATTTCATAAAGCGAAACTCACTGTGTTTGGTCGCTTGAAGAAATTCTTAGTATCATCGGATCCTATTGTTGTTTCGTTGTGTAACGAGTTCTGTTCTAGAGAAATACAAACTGCCAACCGATAGGGGATCTTTTGTTAAGCTTAGCAGCGTATGCTTCTTGTAAAGTTGATTGAAGCCGTTTGTTAAAAGAAACGTTTACTTTAATCTCTTATTAACTCAGAACGAACAGAAGAAACCTTCAAACTTTATGCTCCTTTTAAAATTTGAAATGAGCATCTTGCACATAAACATCGATCACAATTCCAATAAGGATCATTATGATTCAAAGAAAAAAATTAAAATATTTCCATCATGTAATAGGGCGTATAAGAATATGATAGCATGTTCAAAAGTTTGTTGAAAGTTTTAAGCCTTATTCTACAATTATAGAAATATATAATAAAATACAATCGTTCTTATGACGACGTTTAGTTGAGTATTTAGAAACATTTGATTCAACTCCTTTAAAAACCAATCATATTATATTTCTGCAGTGGCAAGAACATGTTTTAATTAATTACTAAAAAAAACTGTTGTTCTCATTTATTTGTAATTATTTTTAATTGCTCGAATGTAAGAAATGCATCATAAAGATAAGATTGAATAGCCAAAAAGATAAAGTAGTTTCGTTAAGATGTATTGTTAATTAGAGCTTAGAGAATGAAAGCGAATTCACAGAAGGAATTTGCGTTTCTAACGATTTACCAACAAAGCAATATAACTAGTGTAATGCATAAGCATTAATTAAAAACACTAGTTTTTTTAAAAAATAAGCCTCGTTTTAACAACTACCAGCTATTGGTAACACTAACTTGACAAGAAACAATTTTAACCGTTTTACTACTTAAACCTGTTTAATTTGGTTTCATTTCAAATTACTTCTTCCTCTGGCTAAAAACACTTAATTTCCAGTTTAGTTGTCGTAAAGTGAAGATTATTTACATACATTTTTAAACGTTATTGTGACCAATATTTGGGATCAGGGTTCTCTAACATTTCCTCTTCTACGTACCCCTAACATTAGTTCCTGTGCTTATACAATGTGTACTGAACATGCCTTGTTTTGGTTATACCACGAACACTATATTTTTACTTCATGCACTTTACGTGATTTGTTTCACTTACATCACAGAATGTCTCATGGGTTGGTATTTGGGTTGTATAGCTTGACGGTAGCTTAAAAACCAAACGTATGGATAGATATGTAACAGCATCTTTAAACATCCATCGTACAAATTTCTTAGGCTCATTCAGTTTAATTTTTCTTCCTTCTTAGGTACCAGTGTGTGAGCCTGAATATTCCACACAATGCCTGAACATAGAACATAGTACGTCAGTTATTTACACCTTTCCTGCAGGAGTGAAGAATCAGTGACGCCTGACGTGGACATTTCCACATGTTTCAGGATTTTGATGAGAAAAGAGCTTATCAACCTCAAATAAACTTTCTAAGCATAATTAGTTTGAAATTTTATGTCTATACATATAGAATTTGTTGAGAATTTCCTCTGGCGGTACCAAATGCCCTCTCATTTACTTCCCAAGATTAAATGCCCTCCCCAGCTAGATGTGTCTTGTACCATATCTTATATCTGATCGTGAAAGTGTGATTCTTAGATGTTTATCGCCAAACTTTTATTTTGTGTCAGATTAACAGTCACTGCATAAATTACCAGAAATATGTTGATTTAAATTTTTTTTTATATGAGGTCAGACATGCATGCTGAAAGAAAAATGGAGCCTTCCATTCTAAAAACATGCACCCCCCCCCCCAGTGTCACAGCGGTAAGTTTACGGACTTATAACGCTAGAAACCGGATTTCGATACGTTTGGGTAAAATAAATCAAATTTTGTATTGTAAGTCACTGTATAGCAGGTAATTCACTTGTGACACTCTCTAGCATGATTGTTTTGGCGAGGTAAGTGTTGCCAGAGTATGTGAGTGTTTGTTTGTTTGTTTTTTGAATTTCGCGCAAAGCTACACGAGAGCTATCTGCGTTAGCCGTCCCTAAGTTAGCAGTGTAAGACTAGAGGGAAGGCAGCTAGTCATCACCACCCACCGCCAACTGTTTGGTTACTCTTTTACCAACGAATAGTGGGATTGACATTCACATTATAACGCCCCCACGGCTGAAAGGGCGAGCATGTTTAGTGTGAGAGGGATTCGAACCCTCGACCCTCAGATTGCGAGTCGAGTGCCTTATCCACCTGGCCATACCGGGCCCATATGTGAGTGCTAAATCCTTACTCTCAACTACAGAACCAAAAGATAGTAGTTGTTTGTTTTAGAGCAAAACCACAATGGGCTATCTGCGGGGAGTCGAACCCCGGATTTTAGTGTTGTAAGTCCATAATATTTACGGCTGTCCCACCGAAGGACACAAGCGATAGATATTCTATAGTTTTAGCTTCTGCTTGTTTGTTTGTTTGAAGTTAAACACAAAGCTACACAATGGGATATCTGTGCTCTGTTCACCATGGGTATCGAAACCCGGTTTCTAGCGTTTTAAGTCCGTAGACATACCGCTTGGCCACTGTTGGGCTTTAGTTTCTGCTTCTTTCTTATTAGAATTCAGTAATTTTTGTAGCACAAGACAATTTGGCTTAGTGTTTTTGTGTCGAACGTTTTAGATAATCTTGCTTTGAGACATCGTAGCCTACGAATAAACTCAAATTTTCTAGTGTTATTGTGAGCCTCATCTTAGGATAATAGACCTTAACATGCGGCACGGCATGCCCAGGTGGTTAGGGCGCTTGACTCACAATATGAGGGTCGCGGGTTAGAATCCCCGTCCCACCAAACATGCTCGCCCTTTTAGCCGTGGGGACGTTATAATGTGACGGTCAGTCCCCCTATTCGTTGGTAAAAGAATAGCCCAAGAGTTGGCGGTGGGTGGTGATAACAACTGCCTTCCCTCTAGTCTTTCACTGCTAAATTAGGGATGGCTAGCGCAGATAGGCCTCGTGTAGCTTTGCGCCAAATTCAAACCAAACCTTAACATTCAGTTTGAGCTGTCCTTATTATAAGATTCCATTCGCTTGCAAATCAAAACACCGTCTCCCGACAAGTTTGAACGGGAGATTATAACCCGTTGAACCTTCAAAATAAATATTATTTCTTCTGAATAAAATTTATTTTAAAGAACATAAAACAAAGTTTTTCGAAACTCGAAACCATGTAAGCAAATTCAGAACATCAAAATAGTTCTATACGACTCGCCATGGAAAGAGATTGCGCACATTATTGAACAATGAGATTGTAAAAAGGAACCGTTTAAGCAGGGAAAATGACCAACTAGCAACGTTTCTTGTAACCTCATGCCCAGAACGTAAAAAACACTTGCATGCATCGTTTTAAATCTAGTAAAAGATAGCTACATCCCTATACATACTGGTTAAGAAAATTTCGAACTTTAAACAAATAAATACCGTTTCCTTTCCCTTGGCCCGACATAGCCAGGTGGTTAGGGCGCTCGACTCGTAATCTGAGGGTCGTGGGTTCGAATCCCCGTCACTCCAAACATGCTCGCCCTTTCAGCCGTGGGGGCGTTATAATGTGACGGTCAATCCCACTATTCGTTGGTAAAAAGAGTAGCCCAAGAGTTGGCGGTGGGTGGTGATGACTAGCTGCCTTCCCTCTAGTCTTACACCGCTAAATTAGGGACGGCTAGTGCAGATAGCCCTCGTGTAACTTTGCGCGAAATTCAAAACAAAACGCGAAATTACAAACAAAACAAATTTTTTTCCTTTCGATAATTCATATCGTTAAAAAACGCAAAGTGGCTCAGCCTTTAACGCAAGAAAAAATCATGATCACAGAGAATAAATGCAGAATGGGAAGTATTTTGTGCAAAATTAACATGAAAAGATTAAACATTAAATCTTGTGGGTTCATTCGTGAATTTTTCGCACGGAGATACGAATTGACAGTTAGTTAATTCTCCTTTGCCAATGGATGTGTTTGTTGAATTTTGCGCAAACCTCTCGAAAGATACCTGTGCTTGCCGTCCCTAATTTTGGAAATGATAGACTAGAAGGAAAGCAGTTAGACAACATCACCCACCGCCATTCTTTACCAACGTACATTGGGGTTAGTCGTCACATTATAATATCCCCACGGCTGAAGGGGCGAGTATGTTCGGCGACGGGTTTTGATACCGCGAACCGCAGCTTGCGAAAGGAGTGCCCTAACCAGCAAAGCATACCGGGTCTACCACTGCGATTATTAGGCTTAAGTCATTAATTAAAAACATATTATAACTGTAGATTGCTCAGAATTCTTACTATTGTTTTGGTTTTCTGATGACCAGACCTACACGGAACATCATCTGAAGGAACACAGACTATCCGGACTGAGATGGCAAACATTGTGTGTCTGTGAGGATCAGCCATGCTCCACTTCTGTTGTCCCTTAACGTCAAAATGAGCAGTCCTACCTTGTAAGCGTTCAAGTTGTATAGTTAAAAATATGTTATATTCAGTCCTAACACCTTACGCAATAAATTTGTAGAGGATTCAACTTGAAATCCTTGTATTTCTTATCATTTGTATCAATGCGTTAGAATTAAATTGGTATATCATAAGACATAAAAATGATTGATATATTTACATTCAATAATGCTGCTTTTCTGTGCACATTTTGGTACATATATATATATATTACGAATTCTATTTGGTTTTGAAAGATATTTATATTTTTCTTTTCTAATTTGTAAACCATAAATAAGCAAACTAGTCTACATTTGTCTACTAACTGACGGATAATCAAAGAGTGATCGAAGAATTATAAAGTCTTGCATTAAATTGGGAGTTATGTTATTAGAAGCCTTTTACAATACGTATTTGGGCAAGAAACAGTTTCCAACCTGACATCACTTGTCTGTAGGTTCGTATCTGTTATACACTTGAGAAAATGCCAGAGGATTTACATGAGTTTAACAGTCAGAACACAAGCCCCCCAGTGGCACAGCGGTATGTCTGCGGACTTACAAAGCTAAAAAACGGGTTTCGATACCCGTGGTGGGCAGAGCACAGATAGCCCTCGTGTAGCTTTGTGCATAATTAAAAAACAAACAAACAATCAGAACAGATTGGCCTTTATGTACGTTATTTTATATGTAAAAATAATTTTAATTTAAGTTTATTAAACATAAAAAACGTAGTCAAACAGAATGGGAAAAGTAAAAAAGGTCAATGTATTTATGCTACATTTGTTGAAAATTTATGAATTATGATTGAGCAGACGTTGTTATTTACATAAGGGTATGGTATATTCAAGATTGTGTTATTCAGTCGATATGGTGGCTTACTAAATCTTAAATCTTCTTACGTAGCTTTTTCCCGTATATATACGAGGTCGCTATTTTCGGTTTTGGCAGGGTTTTTACGGCCGGATGCCCTTCCTGACGCCAACCATCCCCTAATTTAGGCAGTGTAAAACTAGAGGGAAGGCTGCTAATCATCACCACCCACCGCCAACTCTTGGGCTACTCTTTTACCAACGAATAGTGGGATTGACCGTCACATTATAACGCCCCCACGGCTAAAAGGGGCGAGCATGTTTGGTGGGATGGGGCGCAAACCCGCGACCCGCAGATTGCGAGTCGAGCGTCTTACCCACCTGGCCATGCCGGGCCATTTACTAACTCTTAATGCATCGTGAATTTTTTTCCTATGAAATATAACAATTCATTTGATGACAGAATATTAATTGTTTTTGCTAAATAGCCATAGAAGAGTAAATTTGGGTCCAATAAAAAATTCCGTTTCTTTGCATGCTTTATGTTACCGTTTCATAATTTGTTCATTAGTCAGATTGATCTAGTTGTTTAACATTAACAGATTTCAAAAATATTTTTTTCCTGGAGTATACAACCAGTTTAAGCTTTCTTCATCTGATTTGTTTTTGATGTTATTTTGTATTTCTAATCATTCTTTATTAAGTAAATATTTTACTAACACGGCAACATGTCTTTTCAGATGACGATTCTCTTGTTAATCTCGATATTTTCTCGAACATCTGTGGCACTGATGTATCAACTTCAACAGAATAGTAAGTCGTAAAACTAACCTTTATTTTGTGGATATTTATTTACTGTATAGGCTGAGCTTTTTGTTATACAAATGTGTGTGTATATTATAAACTCAACCATAGCTGTTGTCTTTAGGAAAACTCTAGTAATTCTCTCTTCTTAATTATTAATTATAAACAACCATGACTTTTTAGGATTTGTTTGGATGTTAGTTGATCAGAGAAAGTAGTACGGCAGTATTATTTAATTCATAAGTCAGTGCATTCTTAATCACTCGCATAAATACCCACGATCTGCTTCGGGGTTCAAATGCCCCCTCATGATTCACATCGATCTTCCATTATTCTCAATTAGTCTTATAGTTACCCCAAGGGGGCAAGAGTCCGTACCAGAAAAAAAAAATGATAGGGCAACAGTCCATGATACTTGATACTTAAGCATGTGTTCCAAGTTTGTTTCCGCTATTGCGAATGTAAACACAGTTTCAAACATGGCCCCCTCAAGATCCATGGGGGGTGGGGGGGTGGTAGTCATGAACTCAAACCTTCGAGTTCAGCGACCTCTTCCCCCCCCAACCCCTCCGGACCACTCGAGTCCGCATGCTTGGTTTGTTCCTGCTAGCATCAATACTGAGGGAGTTCGCGGACAAACAAACACAAATTCACGCACAACGTAAATTAATATGTAGGTTTATAAGTTTTTGTTTGTTGACATCGCATGCTCTTACTTGAGCCGATATAGTGAATTACCCACGTTATTTACATTAGTTCTGTCGATAATATCCTATCATTTGTTATTAAAATATCTATATAATCACTTGAAAAAAAAAGCCTCGTATTTCCCAGAGTCTTCTATGGTTAATCCCTCACATGGGCAACGAATCTGTTAAACGTTAAACTGACTTAATTGTAAGTCGTGGACATGTTTTCTATAATTGAGCTCCCAAGCTATTTAATGGTGCTTCATTTATTATCAAATACAACCAACTGTGTCTGAAATGGTAATAGAGATGTGTAAAAGCAAATTTATCGTACTGGAAACGTTGCTGATCTAGTGCTATCTTTGGATAAAAGTAATTAGACTTCTTTAATCTTGTTCAGAGTGTTGCCTTTTAAGACAATTTCCTATCTAAAATCTATTTAACCTTTTTTTTTTAATGGACTTAACACCTTGTCTTTGGGCTCTCGAACTACTTGCTCTCCCTTAAAACATTCATTATCTTGACAAGTATCTGCAGACTACTTGAAACAAAAATTATTACCTATACAATATCAAGGAACCAAATAGAAAATAATTAAGGAAATGTATTCAGACCTATTTATTGATAAATTACATAATTCCAGGACGTAGGCATCCCGACCTATTACCTTCTAACAGCACTGATTTAACAATTCTTATTATGAAACCAGTTTGCGAACACTCTTTTTAACCCTCTATTGCACATTGTAACATGCGAGTAATAAATCTATCTTTGTAACTGAATACATTTTGTTTCCATTCTGTAATTTCATGCTTTAATTTCCAGGCAACAGTCTAACTCAACTATGGGGTTATTTCTGTTGGTTCCTCAATTGAACAATGTTACTTCAGGGTAACTTACTCATTTATAAATTACCAAAATATATTTCAAAAACTATTTTGTGCAATAGAAACCTGTTTAATTAAGAAATCCAAAAAAAAAATGAATATCGTTATTACTGTGCACAACAATTAATTTTTAAAGTCATAGAATTGCAATTTTTAATATTTTCATTTATCCATTTAAACTACGTTTTAATGTTGTCACTGAATCCCTGATTAAATTTTTATTTGTTGAAAATATTAACATTAGATGTCAGCAGTATCTATTCCTTAAATAAATAGTCATAAATGTTGATTTAATTTTTATTCTTACTTTACAACTAATCTTTAACGACTAACGAGTCAGCGGTACGGTTATAAATTTACAGTGCTGAACTTCGGCGTACGATTCCTCGCGTTGGGTAGAGTGCAGGTAGCCCATTGTGTAGCTCTGCACTAAGAAAATAGTAACTTTTAATATAAAGTAAAAAAAAAAAAGACTAAAAATTAATAAAGCAGTTATTTCTACGCACATTCCAACCTAATCATTCACTGAATCTTCTAAACACCTTTTCCCCCGGTGGGGCAGTGGTAATTCTATGAAGTTATAACGCTAAAATATGGGGTTCGATTCCCCGCGGTAAACACAGCAGATGTGGTCTTTGCTCTAAAACAGACAAATCTAAACACCTAGTTCAAATATCCATCAGTTATTTTAGCAAAATATGTTTTCACATTCAATACTCCTACTTAATACTTAGCTCTAATACTCAATAATCAATAAAGTGCTGAATTCTTCGTCTTGACGAATTAATAACAGTGAAAAAGCTGACGTTTCTCTAGTTGGTCGTTTGAGAAATGTTTACAAATTTCCTATTGGTTGCTGTCGTAACACTACAGATCCCGAGTTTAATAGTAGATAGGTAATATATTTTCCTACTGGTACGTGGAACTTGGGCTCATGACTCACATGGATCCTTCCAACTGTCCTTTCAGAGACGGGCTGGAGTAATCTACTGAATAGTGTGCTAAAACTATGAATCCAAAAATTCATGGTTCTCACCCAGTTGCCGCAAAGATGCGATCAGACAGGAGTAGTTCAAGAGTTGGTGGTAGGTGTTATCGACTAATTGCCTTTCCTATAATCTATCAGTTCAAAATTAGTGACGTATATGCTTAGACAGATAATCTTTAAGTAGTTTTGCGCGAAAATTATAAAACAAACAAAGAAACGCTTTACATAAGAATCCACGGTTCGAATGAGAAGCATTGAGTTTAATTCAATCCAAAAGGCTGCCTGGAGATTGTAATGGCGTTCACTTCGTCTTTCTCATTTATTTCCATTATTAAAATTAAACTCTGTTTTTTTTTCTGTTCTTCCCATTATTTTACACGTACACCTAAAACGGGACTAAAACGTACAGTATTTAAATAGACGATGTACGGAGTTTACAACCTTTATCTCGTTTCCCCAGTTCATCACTTCCTTTACAAAACAATGCTATTATAGTGTAAAATAGACAGGGCGAAAGTAAAATGTTAGCATAACACTTATTTAAACTGCAATCGACAATAATTGATTTAGCCCGCAGGTTACAACTGCTTCTCATATCTCTGTTACAGTTGATTTAGTTAGCAGGATATCACTGTTTAACTTCTCATATCTCTGTTACAGCTGATTTAGTTAGCAGGATATCACTGTTTAACTTCTCATACTTTAATGTTTTTTGTTATGTTCGGAGGTCAGCTCATAAATAATATTTTCAGTCCTGTACAATTCAGAAATAAGGAAAAATCTGTTGCTGTAACGTAGGAATTTTCCCACTGTGTGCTGGTTGCTGCCAGACTTTAACTATGTTACATGTGCAAAACGTGGTTTATAAAATCCCTTACCTAGACGTAGTTGCTACGTTTATGTTATTATCCATTACCTGGACGTAACTGCTACGTTGATGTTACTATCCATTAACTGGACGTAGCTGCTACGTTGAACGTTACTACGCCCATATCTGGACGGAGTTGCTAAACTGACGTTCTTGTTATTGTTGTTGCTGTTGTTTTTAAGGTGGTGTTTATTGTTAATGATGTTGCTGTTGTCTTTAAGAGATGTTTGTTGTTAATATTGTTGCTGTTGTTTTTTAGGAGGTTTTTATTATTAACGTTATTGCTGTTATTTGTTAACGCCAAACTACAAAATCGATAATTTAAGCTCTGTCCACCGCGAGGAATTAAACCCCGAGTTTTAGCCTTGTAAGTCCATTAAGTTACCGGGGGAACTTATTATTACTAGCTTTAAGTATTACCTGCTAACATACAAACCATATTAATTCAAATTAGTTATTAATGTTTTCATAATTCGGATCTTAAATATATCAAATTTTCACACGTTGTTTTATGACAGTAGTTTTGTTGTTTTCCATTCGGTTTTTGAGTTCTTGCCAAAACCAGAACTTTATTTTTGATTATAATACCTATATCTTGATTACTCACAACCATCTATAAACATCTATGAATAATATCTTCATCTTTACATTATCCACTACGTTTCCTGCCAGTATCTAGGTTAATTTTTCACTATTGTTCCGTCTATTTTTTGCATATCCTTTCCATTAGCCATCCCTTCTTCATCATCCTGCAACATATAGTATACAACTCTCTATGTGCTGCTATTAATATTAAAAACCATTCCATTTGTTCCTGGCTGCAGTAACGGAACTGTGGGACCACCTCTCGTCCTCTTATCTCAATCTCATTCATAGATAATGTACGCTCATAACATTTTCTTCAGAGCAGTTACGGGAATTTCACAATTATATCTCCAAATTTCTAATTACTCGTAAATCTAATTTATTTCGATTTCTTTAATTTACACGCCTGATGAGTAAATAAGTATTCATCAGGAGTTAAGTATTTCTTTCGTACTGGAAAGTTTTATGTCATATGTATGGTCAATATCAGTACCAAATTTATGCTGATCCTCATATTTCACAGTTCTTCTTGTTAGCAAAAAAAAAAGATGTTTATATCCTGACTTGAGTGATCGTCTAGTTAGTGGTTATAAGTTCCAGAGCAAAACTTATTATCCTCTGTTGAAATGATCTCCTACCCACTCCCTTATTATAACTTCTGTCGTAAGGCAGTCTTCCACAGCAATTGGTAGGCATGTGCATGAGTGCCAGGATACGTATAATCATCGTGTACTCATGAAGGGAGATCATACTCATATTGAACAGAAAATGTCTGTATCGCACACCCAGTGGGAAATTGCTTCTCATAATGTTACAAACAAGTCTAGTAACCACCAATGTCATTATCAACAGAGCCTCTCTCCCCCCAGTGGCACAGCGGTATGTCTACGGACTTAAAACGCTAGAAACCGGATTTCGATACCCGTGGTGCGCATAGCACAGATAACCCATGGTGTAGCTTTGTGCTTAATCATAAACAAACAACGTTATAT